TAAGAAATCAAGATATTGAGAAAATATAATCTTCACATGCTCACATATCTTTTATGCAATGCTAGGAGATGTAAGGACTGGCAAACTAGTAGCAGAAATGAGGAGATCAGGCAGAAAGGAATTTAGAATAAGCAGGTGTAGAGAGGAGAATGACAAAGTGAGGGATATATTCCACGTGGACGTCTTGTCACCGCCACAGAAATAATCTAGCATCTATCTGCTTGATATGTGGAACAAATGCTTGGAAGAGAGACCAAGATTGTGATCACCAAGGTCCTTCAAATTCTCCAATTCTCCAATTCTGTAAAATAAAAAAGCAAGTTATCTTCAAAAGACATGCTAGAAGATGTACATCCGAGTAATAAAGCTACTTTAGTCATCTTCTAATACAGAAGCTGCAGAATATACTCAGACCCCTTTATCTTATATCGAATTTATCTTAAGAGGAAAGCATGAAAGGGAGAGAACAGAAGAGTGGAGACCAAAATCCTGGAGTGTAGTTTCTCCTATCCTCTACATGAAGGGCAGAAGAAGGAAATGATTTACCAAAGAACCCAAAGGTGAAGTTCAGAGAGAGAGACAGGACATGAATTAACATAACATCATGAAAGACACATGTCACAAAAGTTTGAACAGCAGGGTGGTGGTCATCAAGAGAAAAAGCTATAACAGCAAAGACTAAGGAGGAACCAGACAGGGCTACTATATCCAGTAATTAAGAGGACACTGACGACATTTTGTGTGCAGTTTCTGTAGTGAAGACAGTAAGAATATAAATCTGCCACCAAGCTAGATGAGAAAAAGAGGGTTGTTGATAACAAGTAAGCAGAATCAGTTGTGAAGCTTGATTGAGAAGTAGGATAAGAAAAGAAGAAAGAAAAACAGGCCAGTAGCCAGAGCTGGATCAATGAAGAGGATCTTTGTTTCTGTTTGCAGGCAGAGAAGAAAGAACTGATGGAGAAGGAGAGATTAAGGGGTAGCCTTATTAGTAATAGCAGTAATATATATTGGTTGGGCACATAATAACGCCAACTCTGTAAGTACTACTGTTATAAGGAGTAAGTGAGATTGCAACTCTACACGTTCTCCCAGTTAAAGCTCCAAAACAATCTTCTGGGATCCCACAGCCATCTGTAGGTGAGTACACTAAGCATTGTCAAATTAATCATGAGAATAAGGGGACCAAGTAGGTAGTTGAAAGTTTTAGCTTTTTTTCTCATATACTAGGAAAATAATGTGAAATCAAATATCTAAAAAAAATATAATTGGAGTGGAAGAAAGTAACAGGGTATATAAACATATTTGTAGAGTCAAGCTACTAACACATTAAAGTTGACAAATCCCAAAGAGAAGTTAACAGGGTGTTGATGCCATACCAGTGAAAAATCAAGGTGGAGAGAAAAAAGATGGGCTGGTTGTTGAAGACATACAGGATAATGGAACTGGCCCTGTCAGGTTGATAGACATCATGAGCAGGGGTTGGTGGCTCAATGCTTGTTTTGGCCAATTTGTTCTTTTAAAATCTTGTTGTCATCACATCTGTATTGTTACGAAGACGTGTCACCCAAAATGAGGAATACAGGGACCTGCTGATGTGACCTCAACAAGACTACTTCCCTGACAGTACCCAAAGCCTCTAATGTCCTTTAAGAAATCAAAAAGAAACACTTGAGTGGGGGCATGACAAAGTTCAGCATTTTAAAATTAGTCACAGTTAATTCCTATTGGAAGTTACCAAAGTCCAATCAAAGTCACTTCCAGCAACATTTTCTTTAAGAGTCAACTTATTTTTAAACCTAAAAAATGAATTTTAAATAGCTATTGATTCCTCAGAGGGGTTTTCCAAATAATTGACTTTATATTTAAATAAATCTGAGATTGATGAGAAAACTCTGATAGAAATGGCACTCTGGCTTTATTTATATTTCAAAGTTAAACTCCCCATCTTAGAACTGACCCACCCCAAACAGGCTTTTCTGTGGTCCTACCCAGAGGGGAGGTCCCCTACAAGTGTCATTTGTGCAGATAGGCAATGCATTACTAGTTAATTACCCGCCATGCAACCTCCACATTAGATTTATCTCTGCTAGACCTTATAACTACCTTAAGTTTTGTTTTAGGGTAATTTCCCATTCTCAATCATATTCACGCACGTGTACATACACACATGCAGAAGTAAAGAACTACATTTCATTTCCCCCTTTCTGGATGGAAGGACTAGAGGCACAGGGGGCATTCAAAGGTATGCCACTTACCATCATCTCAGTGACCAAGGCTGGAAAGCTGTTTCTTTACCATGGAATAGCTTCCCCTGACTGACAAGTCACAGAAGAGCAATAAAGCCACCAGCGTTAGTGCTGGGACCGTGAGGAAAGAAGTGCTGGAGATCTCCTATGCACTAAGGCAGAGAATGCTTCAGCACCTCAGACAGCTCCCACCCAAGCAATGGCGCTCCCTAACCGCTTAAGGAAATGTTTTAAGTGGTTGCGCCGAGATCCACAGAACAATCTGCAACGTGTTCCTAATTAGCTGTGTATCTTCAGGTTTAAATTCGGGTAGCAAAATGATTACTGGAGACTCTTTAATCTTGACAAGGGCTGGTATCAGAAATGCAGTTTTTCTATCTACTATCTTTCTTTATTACCTCATCCTAAGCAAATTGTAGCCATTGTTCTTGGAAGAAAAGTGAGTTGTTTAATATGTACATCTATCCTTTAGCAAATTTTTAAACATACTTTTTCCAATTCTGAATAACTTTTCTGAGAAAAGCACATAAAAGTTTTCAAGAAATCGATGCTGCATTTAGCCATTTAGCCCTGTGTCATCGTTTAATCATAGATTTTAAATACACACACACATATATATATTCATATATATCTCATAGGGACATTATATACACACACACTACATTCATAGCTACACACACTTCTGTATTTTCCAGGAAAAACACTGATGGCAGGACTTAATGAATCTAAGTTAGATACATCGTTCAGAGCCATAACAGCAGAAATCATTTGCAAATATTAAATCCTTGATTTGTTCCTCAGTTCAAATCTTTCGCTTTTTCTGAGAAACAGTTCTAGACATATATCAAACTGAAAAGAAGGAAATATATGCTCCAAGCTAACATAAAAAAAAATAATGAAATAAAAAAGATGGGTGGAGACCATCTGAAACCAAAGTCAGAAGCTCTTGCCTTTCCTTTCTCCTACTGACACCTAGCGCCTGTAGAGAAGAGATTGCACATCGTTCTCACTCCAAGTATAACACAATTCGACAGTTTTAAGTCAGGTTTAAGGCAAAAAGTGCATCATTTCTGTCTGCATTGCAGCTCAATTGTCTTCCCCAAGATTCTTGGTAGTTTAATCCTCCAGAATTCTTCACCAACCTCAGTGAAATCCCTCCCCAAAGACTTCTAGTTCCTTGAACCAGATGACTGAAGAAATCATGTGTCTCTCTCAGGACCTGGCCCACTGAACTCAGGGATATCTCTCAGATATCTCTTTATCTAACCAGGGGAATCTGGACACGACCCAAAAGAAAATAAGAAAACCACATGCACGATCTGATACAGAGTGTGTGGTGTGCGTGTGTGTGTGCACACACACAAACACATCTCCATTCATAAAGCAAGACTGACTAGTAACAGCAACAAAACCTCAGTGACTATTTCAGAACTGTCCTTGTGAAAGCACTCAACCCCCCCACCAACACACACACACACACACACACACACACACCTTTCTTGCCCTATAAAAGAAATACCAAATGGTGAAGCAGTGTGACCCGACGCAGGACTTGTTTAATGGCTACAACCTCCTGCTCATTGCAGGGACATGGTTAGGCTATCTGATAGGCTCGTGTGAGGACCAGTGCCCAGCTGCCCCCAGATGGGAAACTTCTCAAAGCTACACACAGGGGGTTCTATAACCCAACACACTCTGCATAGCTCTAGGGGCTGTACCACCAGGCCAGCCCTGCCTCCCTGCCCAAGATCTTGTCTGGGATTTTTCTCTTTTCCCTAGGGAGAGAAGGTCTCCAAGAAAAACGGCAGCTTCCTGGTCCTCCCTGGCCCTCTGAGTGTCTGGAAGGGATCAATAGAGGTGGTTGAACTCATCTGTCTTTGCGGCTGCTGGTGCCCTGCCTGAGTCATCGGTTACTAAGGCGATATGCAAATCCAACCTTTGAAACCCAGGCTTCCAGCCCCTAGAAGAGTAGGAAACGTGCTCACAGAGAAGTTTTCAGCTAACACAGTCTAAGGTAGAGTTGCTAGTCCAAGGTTAGGCTTGGGAGACAGGCAGGGCATGATTCCCATCAGCAAAAATGGTGCTGGGCCCTGGGACAGGAGGGTGGCCCTCGGATGCTAGTGCTTTTATTTATGTATTTATTTTTTCCATAAAAGAAAACCACCATCAACACGACCAGCACTGGGGGGGGGGGGGAAGCGTTTTGGAGAAGTGAGAAGCGGAGGCAAGTGAGCGAAGGGACAGCGTGGGCGGGCGGGGGGGGGGAAGGTGAGGAGGGCACGATGGATGGATTCCAGTGACAGGTGGGAGGGGGACAAAAAGACCCTGGGACATTATCTTCCCTGAGTCTTAAAGAAGAGAAAAAGAAAAGAAAGAAAGAAAAATCAACTTGCAAGCACAAACAGACCGAATTCCCTCCTTAGGATCCACAGCACCATGCAGTTAACAACAGACATCCACATATCCATGAAACCCCCAGCCAATTCCACATCCCAGCAGTGCAGCACCACAAACGCTGCTCTCAAGCCACCAACTCCTGGCCGCCGCCGCTGCGGAGAGAGACCCGCTCCAGGACGGCGGTGACCCAGATCCGCTCTAAGGAGTGTATTTGTGGGTGCTCCCGGGAGTGGTGGGGGCAGGGAGGGGAGGGGAGGGAAGAGGGCGATCAGAACCATCGGAGATACGGGCGGACGCGTCTCCCAGCGCACTCGGCCCCAGCCCCGCGCCGCCCCCCACCCACCAAGATGCTCTTACGTCCTCGTCGTCACAGTCGCTCCGCGCCTGGTACTGGAACCGGGGCCGGCCACCCGCGCCGCCGCCGCCGCCGCGCTCCCGGGGCGCCGCCGCCGGCGCTTGGGCTCCGAGGGGCTTGGGCCCCGCGCCGTCCTCCTCGGGCCCCTGGCCGCCCAGGAGGTGGCTCGCCTCCGGGGGCGCCGGGAACGACCGCGAGGTGTTGATCTTGCCCGTGAACCTCTGGTACAGCGAAGCCATCGGTCTCCGCGCGCTCTCGCTGGCTGTCTTCGGGGCGTTTTTATATTCTGCTTTCTCCCTCTCGGGTTCCCGCTCCCCACCAGCTCCAGGGGAGAAAAGGGGGCAAGAAGGAGGAGGAGGAAGGAAAGCTGGTAGCGGTGGCCGCTCCTCCGCGCGCCACTCTCAAGTCGCCGCTGGGCGAGTGCCTGGCTCAGCCTCCTCCGCCCCCTCCCCCGGCGGCTCGCGAAGCTTGGGGTCTGGGGGTGTGTTCTCTCTCTCTTCTCTTTTCTGTTTTTTTCAACTCCTTGCCACGGCCGCGTCCGGCCTAATCGAAGACATTGACGGAAGGAGAAAAACAAAAAAACATAAAGGGAGGGAAAATGCCTAGGCCCCAGGATTTGGCACCACCTAGAGACCGGCGAACATCCAGAGCGAATCTCAGCGCTCCCCCCACTTCCCCGGCCCCCTGCGCTGCTCCTCCTTCCCCTCCCCACGCGGCCCCCTCCACCCGGGGTACATAATGGCGCCTCGGTGGCAGGGGGCTGGCGGCGGGGAGAGGGTGGGCTCCTGGAGCAGGGGGGCGCACGACGGGGATGCGGGGGGGCAGGCGCGCCAGAAGGGGGCGGGGGCCACGCAGGTCGTGGGTGCAAGTGGGAGCGGGGGTGGGTGTCCGTTGAGGGCCCTGGGCGCTCGGGGCCCCGCCGCAGGTCGCACCCCAACGCTGCGCCGGGAGAGTGCGCATGAGAAGAGGCGGACAATGAGGAGGGGGAGTTGGGGAGACTAAAGGAGGGGCTGGCACACCGAGGCGCCCGTCCTTGGCGCCCCGGCTGCACTCCGCGTCCACACGCTTGCCTTGCTCGCAGCTGCAGCCTTGGCTCCTTCCCAGGCGTTCCCCCTCGTGTTTTCCTTCCAGCTTTTCTTGCCTAACTTGCAACAACAACAGCCAAGACCCTGGGGCCTGGGGGTGCGAGGGACGTGAGGGAGAGCGAACAGCAGGGCTGGAAGGGAGGAGGCCGGCTTGTAAGACAAGGGCTCAGGGGACGGGGGTTTCTGAGGAGCCTCCTTCCTTCTCCAGCCAAGCTCTTCTCCGAAAACAGATCCATTTTCTTTCACCTGGTCTCAACAAGAGGGGAAGGAAAAGGTCATGGAAGGCAAGCGAGAGAAGGCCTGGTGGAAACCTTCAGAGCAACTCGATTACACTCCTCCACATACACCCACTGATTTGTGTACATCGCAAACTCCATTTTCATTTTCAGTAAATACAGGCAGAGGCTGAAGCATCTGGGATGCCGGCAACTTTTCCAAAGCTTGCTCTTCCTCTCCCCCCCCCAACCCCCCCCCCTCCCCCGCCCAGCGGAGAGTGAGTGATAAGGGAGAAAGGACGCCAAATGGGGTGCACTGTTCAGCGTGAGCCTCGACTCCTCTTGCTGCATTAAAACGTGCTCCAGCGCCCCTGTGTGGAAAGACACAGACTGTGCCTCGTGCTCAGTTCCGACTCCACACCACAGGCTATTTGGTTTTTCCCCTCCCTTTCCTGGGGTGGATGCCCTCCCCCTGGCCTCTGGGATCCTCTCTCCTGCTGGAACCCGCGCCTCATCTTTCTTGACGATCTGGGCGCTCTTCCTTCTCCTCTCACCCGCCCTCCTCTCATTGCGCAGCCCCTTCCCTCTTGCAGCCCTTCCAGCTGGCATGGATCTATCCCACCCTGAGCATTAGCCAGGACTATGACCCCAAACTCCGGAGGGAAGGGACAGGCGGAGAGGGGCTGCTGCAACTCTGCTGCTCCTTCCACACCAGGTCAAGGTGGGCATCTTCATCTTCACCTTCTAGGACTCAGCGGCGCCCCCTGCTCCGCTGAGCTTTCCATCACCATTTCCATTTAGGTTTTCAGAAAATTAGGCGAGGTCGCGGCCACTGGGCAGCCCATACTGCGGGCTCGCCAGCCTTCGTTGGGTCTGGGCCCAAAGCGATCTCCTGGCACCACTGCCCAAGTCCAGAAATCCCTGAAAGAGACGCTGCCTGGTCCTGAAATTGCCTTCTCCCTCGGTGTCCTTAACCTGGAGGGAGAAACTGGATGCCGGTGAGTAAGTCTCCTAGAGGAGGACACCTGCCAGTCCCTTCCACACCCTTCCCAAGCTCTCAGCCCAGTGGGTAGTCTGGTTTTAATTAAAATTTATACCACACCCATCCTCTGTTTAATCTTCTGTGGTTCCCCTCCACGATGAGGAAAAGCGCAATCATTAAAGTAGTTAAAAACACGTTTCCTTCACAGCAACTATAAAAAGGAGAAAAACCAGCCTCTCAAAAGCTAGGAGGCTCCCCGCCCAGCAAACGGCCAACATCATCACACAGGCAATGGTGCTGCGCACAGGGCCGGGGGCGGCCGAGCTGCACCAGCCCGCCTGACTTTGAAGACAGAAGCAACAATTACAAGAGCCATAAAACTAAACTTTAAAAGTCATCGCATTTAGATAAATAGGAAACCTCGCTCTCCTCCCCCTCTCCCGCCGCAGCTGTGCTTTAGACGGGAGGAAGCTGCCCTTCAGAAGGCAGACTTGAAAGGAAGGCTCATGCTGCTCTCAGCTGCATCCAGGTCCTGACATTTCACTAAATATAGACGCCTGAGGGCCTCACTTACATAATGTACATGTACATGAAATGTGCACGTACACATTTACACAAACTGTCAGAGGAAGCATTACATACATTTCTTGTACTAATACATTGTATTCAAAATATAGTATTTATATGGAAATAGTTCATATGTCATACACAGTACTTTATACATGTATGTATACGAACAATGATAGCTTGAAAGTGGGATAAAGAAGGCACATGTGTCCCCCACTTTTAAAAATTATATTCTCAAGTGAGCTTGAAGGTATTCAAATTACAATTTAGTCAAAGATAAAAATCCTAATTAAATTATCCAGACAATATGATAAGCAATTTCTGCTTAAAATTATTTATAAAATGAAAAAAACTATAAAACTCATAAATCATGGAAGAGAGCTGAGGTACACAATTTGAGTTGAGAAAATCAAATTTGAAAATCAAACAAGAGAAATGAAGGGGAGGGGACAGGAAGGAGGTCAAGAAAAACAAGAGCCTCTTAGAGGCAAGTGTGAAGGGAAACAGGCCCTAGTGAAAGGACAAGGTGCTTGCCGCGAGGCTTCTCAGAGCCCAATCTAGAGGGAGGCCCATTAACTAACTTAAAAAGAATTCAGCTCCCTTTTTTCACCTTGCACATTGAACAAACTCATTTTAAAGAATGTTTCAGACTTTGTGTGTATGTGCATGCTTGTTTGCAAGCACATGTGCACTCACACATCCAAATTTGTCTTAAATACCGATACACAAATTGCAATAATCTTTAGATACACTGTCAGGATTCTAAAGTCCTAAATGCAAAGAGTAAACCAGTTAATATTCTAGGATGAGTGAAGTAACGCAATTGCAGAGACTTGCAAGCTATGGCATTTTATGTTTATGATTCATAATTAATTCACTTATTGCCTTCAATAACCTTTTCAGAGCCCCATCCCCCAAATAAGGAAGAAGATATTCTGAATAGCAGAGAAACTTGCCAGTGGGCATTCAAATATAGGTGTAGCATTTCAGAAGGAAACATGTCAGTTACTACTCACTCAGCCTGTCATTGAGCATCTTGAATATGCTGCATTGAAGTAGATTTCCATTCCTGCTTATTGGGTGAGTGTGGGACACCATTTTTGAAAATATTTCATTGATTATTTCATATCGATATCTTAATTCTTCAATACTGCTTACAATCATGTCCACCAACCCATTTTTCCATCTAGTTTCATATGATTATTTCTTCCCTACTTACTAAATAAATGTGTAAGTGTGTGTTTATTTTCTCTGGAATCAATGTACAAAACAAATATGATAAGTCATTGGAATTAGGCAGATACTGGAAAATATGGTGGATAGTCATTTTTAAAGTGAAAATAAAGGGAACTTTTTGGTCTACATGCAAGCTAAGCATTGTAGGAAGACCAAAAGTATATTGAGTTCAGCAGCCTAAGCATGGTTTTTATCAGCTAAGAGGTTTTCTTATTCCTAGGAGAGAATTATATCCTGTAGTTTACTTCCTTTTTCCCTGTGAAGAGAAGGAGGAGGGCAGAACCCTATTTAAGATTTTTATTCTTTCTCAAACACTGATATTTGGAGAAATGAAATGGCCAGTGACGGGAGGGATCCCTAAAACACTGTGCATCAATATCTGTTAGATATTGTCACCTTGTACTCATACAAATGGGGAGAAATAAAACAAATATTTGGGCAGCTTGAGAAAATACAGTGCTAAATGCATAAAAACAATGCATATTCTCAACCAACTCTGTATTTCTTTCTTTAAAGAAAATTTTTTGCAAGATGACTACCAATAAGTGTCTAGGTAGAATGAATTATTTACAAACTCGACAAAGAGGAAACGTCCAGCACAAGAAAAGGAAATCGTTGTTCCCAGCTTTTAAAAACCACAGAGGTAAAGTATGAATTGAGTTAATTTTGAGCTTTCCAAATTGATACTTAAAGATTAATATATTCTAACAAAAAACATTTATTTTAACCCAACAAAAAGGTTTACTCTAAAGTTAATAAAGTCAAATGCTGATCTCCCAACAGCACTTTTCTCTGCAGTTTAGTACTGCCGTTGTGCAACTACCTGGTTTTTACAATGCAGTTCAAAACATACACAAAACTAGCTGGCCCAGGGGCGTGTACACAGGCACACGTGGTTGACCAGTCCACGTGGTAAAGTTGATTGCCAAGGGAGTAAAACAACCATTGATTCAACTAAATGGCTGGGGTCCACCTAGGGAAAGCATTTTACTCCTAGCTGGGCGGGGGATTGTCAGATCCTACTCTTCCTTCCTTTAGGGATTCTCCCCCTCATCTGCTGCCTCTCCCGTTAGACATTCGACCATACACACCTCCTCTCTCCTCCCAATTTTCCTCTTCCCCTTTTCTCTTTCTTGTCTTTCATTCTTGTCCTTGCTCTGGATCAGTATCAGTAGGTTATATATATTTTTTTCTCTAAAAATTCCTTGCTGCTCTCTGAATACTCATAAAATCTTACTTTTTACTACCAATGTTGACCCGGAAATTATCCCCATAATCCCTTTACCTCCTAGAGGAGGCACCAACTTCTATCTTGCCTCATCTTCTGATTGTCTACTGACAGCTTCTGCCATGTTTTCCAAGGCTCTTCAGATTCTTAGAGCAGGGGATAGAGAAGAGTCTGTTGTTTCTGTTTGTCCCTGGTGACCATTTGAACCTAACCAGGGCACTCTCTGAAGTGTCTTAATTCATATATCAAGCTTTATCAGATTAAAAGGGAAGTGACATCTGCTCTGAGATGCCCCTAGAGCTCCCTGCCCTTTCGAACCACGCACTTCCCTGAGTCCAGTGAATTAAGTTAAAT